CATTAAGTCTATTCATGTTCTGTTCTTAGTACGTTTCCCTGGTCTGTAAGCCAAATGTAAAATTGTGGTTTTACAAACAAATAGTTGCAGGTTTATCTACTTACCAGGTCTTTGCCTTCATAGACAGCCGGAGGCCCCTAGAAAAAAGTGTCTGAGCTTAAATCATCTTATTTTTATTTTCAATACAGACCTCATCTATACATTAAAATAAATTACCAGATCATTAACCTTTATTATCTTTTTTTCCTGATGATGTTCATTAGCAGTGTACACAGAAACTGGGATACTTACTCTTGGACCACGAGGACCAGGAAGACCAACTTGACCTCTTCTCCCTCTTGCTCCCTGCAGCAGATAGATGTGTTTTTATTAATCAGTTGTGTAGTCACCAGCAGGACATGTTTTGTGATGATTGTTGACTTTGTTTGTACTGAAGGTATTGGCTCCTTCAAAGATTAAAAACTTTTTATTCCACAAAAGCTAAGAAATTGTATTTAGGCAATTTATGATTTATATACTCACAGGGGGTCCTACTTTTCCCAGTTCCCCTGGTAGCCCATCGGAACCAGGAATACCCTGTTAAAAAATACAGCAAAATAGCATAAACTGTTGTAAATGAGCTCTACTTCCAACTGTGCAACACTGAGCAGTTTTTAATAGAAGAACTGATCAATTCTAACAAAAACACGTCAAAATATTAGCCACAATAATAATTTAAACGCTCCCATTTGTGGAAATGACATTAACAAGACGATCAGATATTTATTATTTATCAAATGAAGCCTTGCTTCAAAAAACATTGAACATTCACATTTGTTTTTAGTAGAAGTTAGATCTTTTCACCATACTCTGCCCAAAGAATAATATCGTATAAGAGCCCTGGAAGTACAGAACAGCCTGTAAATATGTTACAAAGTAACCAGTAACCACTCAGCTGCTGGTAACCACAAATCGGCAACCACTGATTTGTTTGTTCGTTTGTTTAATGTACATACTTATGCAAACCTGAAAAGGACTTAGAAATCAGCAGTGTACTCACATCAAGTCCACCAGGTCCTGCGCCCTGTGGGAGACAAGTCCTAAATTACAATGTGTCAAACTGAGAGTAAGAAATAATTACAAATTTGCAAAAATTCTGGCTGGTTTTATTCGTTTTAGTCAAATTGTTTCAATGCACTTTTTAAAACTAGGTTGTACAAGATATAATAGGTAATAACTAAAATGAAGAAAGAGGTCAAATTTGCATTGAAAAGATATATATAAATATTGGCCCAGGAACTCCTCTGATATATATAAAGCAATACATATCTGTTTATCTGTACTTACAGGCTCTCCAAGGGGCCCACGTGCTCCAGAGTCCCCCTGAAAACCAGCAAGAACAGAAATGTTATTTCACACCAGGACAGAGTACAGTATACTTGCAGATACGTGGTGCTACTCTATGCTGTAGTGTGAAAAAACTGATTTAGAGATCTGAGCAACATGACTAACTGAGAAATATGTTGAGACAATAAACTTACTTTTGAGCCTTTTGGGCCCACGAGGCCTCGATCCCCAGGAGGTCCCACAGGTCCCTGTGGACATGAAACAAAGTACATTCAAATCTTGGCAATAATGATATTTTAAATATATATTGCACTCTAGCTGCCATACCATTTTTTTCTTTTCCTATTGTTGTTTGGTTTGATTTCTGTGAGCGTGTGTGTGTGTCACAGTATAGGACTGAGGTCAGAGAATTTATAGGTGGACTTCTGTAATAATAATAATAATAATAATGGATTGCATTTATATAGC